GATTTATTGACTATCGCGACAGGCCTAATCACGGATAAACCAAACAAAACAACGCAAGTTGTTTTTCAGCGTACCTGGGCAGAAGACAACAGGGTTTGTGTCCTGGGTGTTGGAATTGCATCTTTTAGTGATAATGTTGTTAGTCCACTGGTAAATTCCCTTTTGTTCAGAAAGCTATCATCTGTAAAGTGGTTTGCACAAACATATATATATTTTTTTTCGTCAGAGGGCTACTTCTAAAAATTGAAGTCCAACCATTTTTTTTAAGAACCATGTCATCCACGGGAAGCAACAGGGTAGTCTCTTTGGCATCCAAAAATTCATCTCCTCAAAGGTATTTTTTATTCTGAAAGGGACTGGACTGAAAAGTACTACAAGCTCAGCAGACGTGGTTTCACCAGTTTTCCAGTTGTTGCTGCTGATAGCCTGCAGGAGTCACGGGGCAGGTTGGAGGGTGGGGGAGGTGTGCTCTGTGATGAGGAAGCTCGGCTTGGAGACACAGCCCAGAGGAGGAGCTGGTCCCAAAAGGTAGTTCAAGGACCAACTGGTGGTTTTTGCTCCCCTGCCTGGCTGTCTCAGGACACTACAGGATTTCTCAAACATGCATGGATAAGTCAAAGCAAGACTCTGGGCATGTTTTTGATGAGAGTATAACATTATAACATGATATGAAGCTCAGAAAAGTTGATTTTACGTGATATAGACCTTTTAAATAAAATATATTTAAAAAGAATTTAAAAAACAAGACTTTCTGGTCTGTGAATTCTGTGCTTTTGGTACGGCGAACGTTAGCACGCTATTTCATCATGACAGGCTGACACGAACTGAAACGTGCAAATTTTCTAACCTTTTTTAGTATTTTTTTGTGCTAAGTGCTCACTTTGCTGTAAACTGCAGCTGCCACACATCACCTGTCAAACACACAATGTGGGACTTRCTTATCCTCTCCGGTTTTTTGTTAATGTTCTGCAAACTTATTTGCAGTTTCTTAAAGCAATTCTGTGATTTTTTTTCTCCTCTTAGAGACATTAAATTTATTTAGTGGAAATAAGATATGAACACTAACCCTAACCTGATGTTGTCTTTTATTTTATTTTTTTTAAATAAGGGGCAGGATTTTTTTCTTCACTCTGCACCCTTTACTTTATTACGGTTTTTAGATTTAAACTTTTATGAATGAGATTCATAGTTTGAGAAGGTTTTTCTCAAACTAACAAACCTACAGCTCCTTCAAACCCCTCAGTCTATTCGTCTGTATCGGCTGTTTGCAGTGATATTGATCAGTGTTGTATCGACTAGTTAGATCTCAGTCTGATTCTGTGTTTGTGCCAAAAACAAAAACCAAGTTTAAGAAAAGCTTTGAAGTGTCCAACAGACTCTGGTTGTACAGAAATCATTCTTACCTGAACATGTCCCCGAGTCCCTTCAGCATGCCTTTCTTGGGTTTCCCCTTCTCCTTCTCCTTCTCCTTCTCCTTCCCTCCCTCCTGCTTCTTCTTCTCCTTCCCTGCTTTGTCTTTCTCCTTCTTCTTCTCCTCCTTGGAGCGGTTGGTGCCGTTGACCAGGGGCTTTTCCGGGCCGGACAGCGGGGTCTGGTCTGCCACGGTGGACACGGACTCTCGGCCTGACCGTGAACTCTCCTCCGTGTCTTCTTCCACTGAAGGGAAATTTAAAAGAGCAACGAGGAGAAATAAAGAAGAAAGAATTGTCTTTAGAAGAATTACAGCACAGATGAAATCAGGAGCTGTAATAAAAATGAATCTGTGACTACTGGAGCCTGACTGGATTTAATCCCCAAACAACGAGAGAAGAGCTCCTCTTCATATTGAGATAAAAAAAAAACCTTTAGAAACTCATTTATACTGACTAAACTCGTTAATATTTTTTGTGTAACCAAACCAAAATAGCTGAAAGGTACTGGAATTAATAATCATTTGTAGTAATTTGTCATTTGTCAAGCCTGAAAGAATAAATTATGCTTTAAAGGTACAAATTTTTTTAAAAGTAATAATTGGCTCGGCTTTTCATCGACTGGTTGGCTAAAATAAATGTATGTATAGTATATGTGTGACACTTTGAAAACCCTGCTGGATACGAAGCATTAGTCAGGATGCCGACACTCTCATGCACAAATATGAAGATCAGAGGTGAGGTTTAGTGGCGGACGCCTCGTCTCAGCTGCGTTAGTGTTGGTTGGGATCATTGAGCAGCAGGTAGCGCTACACAAGGTCGTTCATGCAGTCGTTCACATTCAGTCAAGTTTTCAGTCATTACTGCCTGATGAGGGCAGAAACGTCCCGTCGAGGGTCACCAAAACGACTCGATTATAAAATCTACCCCTGGTGCCTGAGTTTCACATTTCTAGGGAGCGTTCGGACATCTTACACGTCTCCATGCCCTCGTCATCTTCATCCATGGCCGCCGGTCGGTCGTAGGATTTGTCGATGGCCGCCCTGAAGCTCTCGTTGCAGCCACGCCCCCTGATGATGCGTGGGCGGGGCCTGTGAAACGGGAGGTCACCGTTGAGGGTGACCTCTGCGACAGCCGTCTGCAGACTCTCCAGGGAGCTGGACTTCTTTAGACCCAGCGAGGGTCCCACATCCTTTGTGGAGGAACCTGATGGGGGTCATACAGAGCATGCATTATATGGATTCCTGTCGGAAATGCTCATTTCATTTAATTTCAAGATATTAATAGTTCTTATTTAATTAAATAATAGTTGCACAAGTATTAACAWGATCTTTCTGTAAATAAATGAGTTTATTGACAACTAATTAAGATTTTCCAACAAATATCTACCTGTTAAAATGATATAATTTTAATATGATCCTGCCTTAATTTCTGATTTAAACATAAGCCAGCAAAAGTATCATGAAAATATTAAGACGTGTTAAAATCAAGGCCCACAGGCCAATTGTGGCCCACCACTGCATTTTTTATGGTCCGTAATAAGCTGCTTTAAATTCAGCATTGACCATTAACTACATCTCCCATAATGAACGTTGAATATTTTACCCATAAAATGACGGCATCCCACCACTACGTGGAGATGTACAGGGTTCAAAATTAGCTGGCTACTTTTAATACAGCCCAGTTGTACTGGAAAATGGAAATTTACCATTTACAATTGTAAATTTAAACTGGAACACCCCTTAACTGGGAATAACCCAGTTGGAAAGTGGGATAGTTCAGAATTCAAGATGSCGGCTACTCACCACAACTCAAACAGTGAGTAAAACGCTTACTTTTACTTTTAATATTACTTCTGTAGTATTTATTTCACATTTGGTCAGTCATACATGTAGTACTTTTCAGTGTTTATAAGGAGACACGGGAAAACACTGTTTCTATGCAGGAAATACCAGGTAGAGCTCAGTTATTGTTTATTAGCTGTAGTTAGGCGGGAAAAAAACTCAGCTGCTCTGACATGTTGATGTCACTCAATCTAAATGCGTTTTGCACCTTATTTTGTCACACAAATTAAAAATACGTCCAAATACGTCTTTCTCGTAAGTTATTTTTATCGTATTAGTAGTAACGCTGCTGCATACTTTTAGCTAGTTTTTGTGCCGATTAAATTTGTATTTACCTACTTTTCTGCAGCAAGGAGCTCACAAATTTCGGGGAGAAATTTATTTCTTCTGTCTTCTGATTGGTCAAAAGTTTGTGGGCGTGTTTGTTTTTTCTTCAGCTACTCGCCTAGAACATTTATGTTCCAGTTTTCATAGCCRCCTTGTGGACATTTAAGCATCACTTAACGCACCAGTACTGCCATCATTTTTTTATATCATCACCATGATGTAATACCGCAGTATACCAAAATACCACCCAAGCCTACTCTTTAAGCATTTAATTATTAGAGAAGGAAAATACTTTTAAGCACAGATTTTAAAAGATTAATTAATTGTGTCAATCAGGTTAGGTTTATATTGTTCTTATGTTGTTGAGACGACACAAACTCCGACCACAGCCACAACTTGGTCCATGGATGTTATTCTACAGACGAGCTGCTTCTCAACAGATCTAACCTGTGAGGAAATGTCTCACACAGAAAACACCTGGTACACCTGAACCCTCCTAAGGGACAAGACACAATAAGTTCTGACATCAACATGCTGTAATCAAACCTGGATGCTGCTTCCTAATCGATTGTGTGTGTTTCTGTGTGTGTGTCATTCCTTCTGACTGACTGCAAATTTCATTACAAGATGAGGCTGTAAATTAAAATAACCATCAGCAAAATTGGAGAAACATGACAGTTTAATTAAACTAAGACAATTCAAATGGTTGTGCCAGCATCATTTTTTATTTTTTTTCTTTGCTCCCATGTGGCACCTTTCACRAGCTGAGAACACACGATGAGGATAATAACCGAAGAGGTGAGACAGGATGGAGGGTAAATGAAAAATCTGCAATCTCCTGGGCGGTTTCACTTTAGAGCCGCGACACCAGGCTACCGAACACACAAGCTGACCACATGTGGAGAGGGACAGGAGGTCTTAAATCTTATCCATATATGAATTCTGTGATTTATGTAACAGCGTGCTTAAACCTTTCTCAATACTTTCAAGGTTTGCTTTGAACTTTGGATGCTTTTCCACCCATTTTATGTCCTTTCAGCACCAGAGACCCCTGCGATCTGACAACAAGAAGCAGGTAAAAGAAATTGAATGAATGGGTTTGAATTTATAGAGTGCCTTGAGATAAACTCTGTTGTGAACTGGTGCTGGACAAATAAACCAAACTGAAGCACTCCAAGTATTTCTGGTATTTTAGAGCAAAGCTTCTGGCCCACAAAATAAGAGTTGCAGAAACTTGTATTCCCAAACATTATCGGTTTACGGCTGCAAACTTCGCTAATAATTGGAGAAGCCACTAAGTAGGAGGTTCTTATTTGATGGGTGGAGTTTATCCAAGATATGATTGGTTGGACTGACTATTTTGGGCGGGGCTTGAAGAAGCTGGGGCAGCTGGGAGAAGCTTGGTCAAAACAGCCAGGAAACACTTATATTTTTTTAATAAAGAGATTAATTTTAGTCATAACTCAAGAAAGGAAGGTGCTACCTGCATGGAATAYGAACACCGTACAGTTGGAGGAATGTCTAACAATTCGGCTTGGTCAAAACAGACCTAACCAGCCTGTAAAAAGATCACTATATATGACAAKGAATTAGTATTAGTCATAAATCGAGAAGGGAAGGTGCTTGCACAAAATTTGACGACAATAAATCATATTTACGTTTGCAATAATTTTACTATTACCATTAATTCCTCTCTTAAATTGCCCCACAAGACAAGTCAATCAATCACAGTTTTGCCAAGCTCCGCCCACAACCAACCTCCACATAATATCTAAACTCCACCAATCACAATTAGGATAAACTCCGCCCACATACCAGTTCCACAAAATTACGTTAATACCAAACCCCGCCCACAAAAAGAACTCCGCCAAACATGGTTATGTCGAACTCCGCCCACACGTCAAGAAACTGCCCCTGTGTTCTACAGAGACCCCTACTTGAATAATTCAGTTAAGCATGGGCATCATAACAATATTAACAAACCTCATTACTATGATACTATTTTTATTCATTTATATATATTGCTGCAATAATTATGGTGAAAATTTTCGATTAGCAATTTATTTGAATTTAAACTGATCTGGAAATCAAACGGGGACCCTCACTTGAAGGGTCCCATCTCCAACTTTGGGAAACTTTGCTTTAGAAAAATGTACTTCTGAATTTAAATAAAAACTATATATTTTATACTGGTGTAAATTATACTTTTTTCAGATTCTATTTTGTTTTTAACTGTTAAAAAACTGGATGTCTTTACAGCAAAGTGTATTAAAAACAAGATAAACTAAAACACCTAAACTGCATTTGGGATAAAATTTACATTAATACAGCCACTGTCTATTTAAATAACTGTTCATGGCTGCAGAATACTCTCAGGTGTTCAGTCCAAAAAGGAAAAGAAGTGCTTAGTTTTAGCCAAAATCTGGGAAAGGGGGAAAAAAAGAAAAGAAATAAAACAGATTGAGGCAAAAAAAGAAAGAAAGGCTGAACTGGAAAATTGAATACATGCAGAGTGAACAAGCTCGTGGGTTAGCAGCTCCCATTTATTCTCATCAGCCTGTCCTGTTGCTTTAACGTCTCACTGAGAGCCGGCCTGATAGGCTTTTCACGCTGCACACCCACTTTATTTAAAGGCTTCGCCTGCTGCCGTTCACAGCAGTCACACTTCACTGACAGTATTAAAGAGGGGGAAAAAAAGGATAAATTTACACGTTGTTGGAGGTCTGACAAATGGCACGCAGTCACAAACATGAAAACTTTTTTCTACCTCCTCACAAAAGTCCTGACTCTGAACTTGGCGAAGTGGCTTCTTGTTAAAAACAGCTCCGTTAAGCCAGCAGACCGAAAACAGAGGCTGCCGATTTCTTTTAATGGGAAAACAAAACTCAACTGCAAATGCAATCAGGTCTGAGACGACCGTTTAGATTAGTGCATCGTTTCAAATCTGGCAACCAGTCAGTCAGTTTAGGATAATCACAGCGTATTTAAACAGACTGGGACGGCAATTTCTCTGAAGATAAACATTATCCTCCTGATTTAAGCTTCAGCGGCTCTGCCATAACGAATACAGACAGATCATAAAGCAGCTGCTTAAAGAAGAAGGAGCTGGAAACAGACAGTATTGATTCAGTCGAGATGAAGTAAATAAAGTCATTTCATTTTACTGCCTCGTTCATTTTTCTACACTTAACTTCCTGTGAACACTCCAGCAGTAAAGACGCYGTTCTGATGAAGGATGTTTAGTATAAAACTGTAACAATACGTTCAGTAACAAAGAGGCACAACTTAACCAGGATCGTATAAAGTTTACTGTGAAGTTCTACGTTTTTCTACATAAAGTCAGGTTTTATTAGAAAACTTTCCATTAAAAGCTCTACAAACCCAAATGAATACAAAAAGGACATCTGTGTTTCACTTTATTCAGGTTTATCATCTAGATCACGTTTTAAACCCGCTAATAACTCTGCTGTTGGGAAATATATATTTTTTTACTTAATGTAATGTAAGAAATTTAAATCTTTAATTGTTTTCCATTTAATTAAAAAAAATCACATACAAAAAATACATAAATAAAATGAAAGGTAGCAGAAAGAAGAAATAAATCTTATAGCTGCCCCTATTTAAAAAACAAACATATTAACTATACTAATTTCAAATAATAACAATGTTCAAGTAAAAATCAAAACTTAAATAAATTTTAGACTTCAAATTTATGTTTTAATGCAACAAAATAAACACATTTAAAGATAACAGATAATTAATTAATTGGTCCCTGAGTTATTCGCTTTGAGTAATGGTGCGTTCACACCGAACGCGATTTCAGCRTCAGGAGCAGCAGGTTTACATGCAAAGTCTATGGTGGACGCGCTTCAAGCAACGTCGGGAAGTTCTGCGGCGCCTCAAGCGCGATTAGAGCAGCGCGATTTGAACGATTTGAACGATCTGAGCGTTCGACGCGCTGAGGCGCAAATCGCTGAAGTTAGAAAATCTGAACTTTTGCAGCTCGACGCGCAGCGTCAACCAATCAGAGAGACTCCACTGTGTGACGTAGAGACATATTTCCTGACGGGACAGTTTACTGAATGATGTCCACTAACCTGAAACAGACGGAGCTCCTGCTCTTTAGCTGAAATCGAGTGCCTGCAGTCGTGTCCTGATCCGCAGCAATGCGTGGCAGCGACTCATCAGACTGAAAAAAATAGTCCTGAAAGCGAGCTGTGAGCCTCTACTCTGAATTATCTGGTGAATTAATTATGAATTAATTATCTGATGAACGTGACACGTTCTGGCTGTCTGTAAATAAAGCAAAGCCACTTCCTCGTCCGACATTAAACAGCCCCACAGAGGAGGGAGGGGCGGGGCGGCTGTCGCCGTGCAGCGCAGCTGTCCTGCGTCTGACCTCAAAGTGCACAAGCTTCAAACTTCAGCGTTGGCTGCGATTTTGAAGCTGAAATCGCGTTCGGTGTGAACGCACCATAACTGTGCCAGCTAAGTTTTGAAGTGGAAATTTCCCAGTTACACGTCGTAAATTTAAAAGGGAACATTCCCACTTAAGTGGGAATTTCCTGTTGGAAGCTCACCACAGCTCAACAATGAGTAAAACTCCCTATTAATAGTATTTCTGTTTTATTTATTCCACATTTAGTCAGTTGTACACGTAGTACTTTTCAGTGTTTATAAGAGAATGTGGTAAATGCTCTTTCTATGCAGGAAATACCAGGTAGAGCTCAGTTAGGGAGCTCAGGAACGTGATGTTTCCTGTTTTTAATCAAAGTTAAACTTGAAACGTTGAAGTTACTTACAACTGGCCCTTTGAGGGCAGCCATAATGCTCCTGTAGCCCTGAGTGAATATAAGTTTATGGTTATAGATCTTCAAAATCTGTATCAAAAACAACATGTTTTGTGGAAAACAATCAATTTTTCAAGTAGGCAAATTAACTGATATATGCAAGTTTAATAGTTGACCCAAAAGTTCCTGTAAAACTACAAAAAAGCAAAAAGAAGTGCAGAATTTTAGTGTTACATCATTTTAAATTAATACCAGTGACTTGATAAGGAGGAAACTGAAAGCAGAAATCCCTCCAAAAACAAAAGACTGATTTGAATAATAGTTAAAATCCAAATAAATAATTTTAATGATATAACTGTAAGAATATTCGTGTTCAAAGACTGAAGTCAGTAGAAAACCACCAATGTTAAATAAGATGATTGTTTGACGAGATAAAACCATACAAAACCAGAATTCTGGGAGTGAGGATTTAATGCCATTCGGATCTGACAGGAAACCACACTCTGCCGGTCAACCCGGAAATCGATCCATTTATACAGAGTCTTCAAAGCCCGTGTTCGCCCCCTACTGACCTACGGCTGAATCACGGGYATTCATACACAATTCTTCCCTGATGTTTCCATAACGGATAAATATGTGTTGTTATAGATATTTCGGAAATGTAACTAATCTATATCAATCAACACATTATAGATTAACCATTATAAAAAGGAAAACCTAAAAATATAGTGTTGTGCTTTTAACATCAGTACTAATCTGTAAAAACTATAAATTTCTTCAGAACCTTGTCATTCTGTTACCAGAATTATAAAACACACCCATCTTTTCTCTTCCTCTTCCAGCCATAATGACACAAAGCTGGAAACAAACTCCTCTCCATCTGATGGTCGCCCACACAGTTATGGAGGTTTCGACAAAAGTATTAAACCACCAATCAATGTGTCACTTTGTGTTTTTTTCACAGTTTCACACTTTATTTTCTGCCATATCTTCACGTAAACAGCCACAAAACATCCTCCTTCCAAGCGGTTAGAGCGCTCACGTTGCTCCAAACGTCTCCCTTCAGAGGAAACCGTCCTTCAGTCCAAGCTGCTGACTTCAGAGGCCGGCGCTTTATTCAGGGAAAATACACGAGAAGCGACAGTGACGGATGACTCGTCGGCAGCTCGCCGCCTTCACCAAGGACACGGCGCGGTTCTCCGCTCTCCTCCTCCCATCACACGCAGAAAACGATTAGAGCTTCAGCCACGTCTGAGCCAAAAGGACCAAAATCAAATCTGTAGTCACCCAACCTCTTTTAGTAACTAAACCTGAAGCTGCGGTGAGGACTGCGAGGCCTCACTCTGCACGCTGACAAATCAGTCTGAACAGGAGCGAACCTGACACTAAAAGCAGGGCAATCTGAACAGATGCAGAAAGTGCAGAACCATGGGGAAACCTGCGAGCTCGCTGCAGAATTTACATTTTTACATCAATACATGCATTTTAAGATCTGTCACATCCTGTTAGGAATCTGCTTTATAAAGACAGGTTTATGAATGAAAACCTCTTTTTTTCTGCARTTAGAAGTGTTGTTTTAGGAGTTATTGAATTAAAGATTCATTATATTTTAATATCTAAATGAAACTGAAGAGGAGATAAAATGATGAAAGTGAACTCAATCATGTGCGCAGCCAAGAATAGTTATGACAGATTTTTAGCTAGAGAGGCGATGGGGGCCTCACTGATCTTTGAGTTTGCAGAGGTTTAACAGCCATTTTTGGACTTTATTTATTTCATTTAGTGCCGTTTGTATTCACATTGTGTATGATTTAAAAAAAAAAAAAATCACGCGTATGACGATCATTGCTCCCACTGGACAAAAACAACAGAGCACAGACCAGAAAGAAAAACGGTGGTGTTATTAAAACTGCGATACCATTTATCAATCAATCAAATTTATTCATAGAGCACATTTTAAAACCACAAGGGAAACCAAACTGTAATTTAGAATTTCAAGAGCAGCTCGTTTAACGACAGTTTCACGATGATATACTTCAAATTTTGGGACTTCATCTGCAAACACATGCCGCAACCCAAAGGAGATGAGATGCTCCCCGTTCCCTGACTCACAACGGCTCATTGTTTGTAGCGCAGTCATAGCTTTAGCAACACTGAGGGGCTAAGATTTACCATAACGCTTAGCAACGGTGACTCGAAGTCCAAAAAGGTGCATGTTGCCCTGCCTGCCTATCCATGCTAGCCTCTAGCCTCTCCAATGCTATTACTAGTCTATCCATGCTAGCCGCTAGCATCTCCAATGCTATTACTAGTCTATCCATGCTAGCCGCTAGCATCTCCAATGCTAACACTAGTCAATCCATGCTAGTCGCTAGCATCTCCAGTGCGAACACCAGCTTATCCATGCTAGTCTCTAGCCTCTCCAATGCTAACGCCAGCTTATCCATGCTAGTCTTTAGCCTCTCCAATGCTAACACCAGCTTATCTATGCTAGTCTCTAGCCTCTCCAATGCTAACGCCAGCTTATCCATGCTAGTCTCTAGCCTCTCTGATGCTAACGCCAGCCTATTCATGCTAGTCCCTAGCCTCTCCAATGCTAACACCAGCTTATCCATGCTAGTCTCTAGCATCTCCAATGCTAACACCAGCTTATCCATGCTAGTCACTAGCCTCTCCAGTGCTAACACCAGCTTATCTATGCTAGTCGCTAGCCTCTCCAATTTTAACACAGGCCTATCCATGCTAGTCTCTAGCATCTCCAATGCTAACACCAGTTTATCCATGCTAGTCGCTAGCCTCTCCAATGCTAACATCAGCTTATCCATGCTAGTCACTAGCCTCTCCAATGCTAACACCAGTTTATCCATGCTAGTCGCTAGCCTCTCCAATGTTAACACAGGCCTATCCATGCTAGTCTCTAGCATCTCCAATGCTAACGCCAGCTTATCCATGCTAGCTGTTCAGTTAGTGGTGCCTACCTATCATTATTCAGATCAATAGCTGGTTAGGAATAGATATAGCCTCCTGCTACAAGGATGTAGCAACCACTGGTTGCGCAATATTCTTGATTTTGGCCCTCATATAAAAGTTTCGGACCAATGGAGGAAACAAACTCTGGTCTATTTTAAGCGGACCAAATGTGTCAGGTGTGAATACACCCTTAATATTACCAAATAAATCTCTTCATTTTTAAAGAAAACTGAGAATTATAAAAATAAAAACCATTCCAATAGAACCGTAACAAACCCCTGATGTGAACCCATGAGATAAAAAGTGAAGCTGATTGCAGTGAAGAAGAGTTTTTTGGCGCTCCGGTCCTTACCTGCGCTGGCGTCGGGACGAGGTGTGAGGTTAATCTCATCGGCTACTGTTAAAGGAAGGAAGAGAAGAGAAGAGAAGAGAAGAGGAGGGATACAAACATTCGGGGTTAAGTAAGTGCTGACAGCATTCCACATGCAACATCCAGGAAGTGCTGCACACGTCACAACGAGCTTCAGCTCAATTAGGATGGGACGCCATGCCAGACAAAGAGGAGATATAGTTTGAGAATAGCAATCAGACCTGTTGAGATATCAACACACAGCAGCAATCTGGTGGAGAAGATTAGATCTGATTACAGAGAGGGTGCGAGCTCAGAGCTGGCTGCAGCCAAAGCAATCAGCCTTTGTTTGAAAGCATTTCAAGGTGAATCAACACGGTGAAGTTCTTGACTTTGGGCGAGAGATGAAGTCTGTTTTTATACTGAGAGAAAGGAAAATAAATAAATAAAAAGAAGGGGTGGAATATGTTTAACTTTAAAGAACRTGTGAAAGGAGGAGAAAGTGAAGGAAGGTGTTCAAGGTGACTGGAATTCTAAGAGTTTAACCTTTCAAACAGGGTGAGCGTTTATTTATTTACTGTAAAGAATCTAAATGGCTTTGATGGGGAAAATGTATTTTATGATCAAATACTGTCATAAAACTGTAAAAATAATAAATCTGTTTAGTTTTTTTCACTACTATGAAGCTTCAAATTAGACATTTAGAGTCATTTTTACACTTAATCTAGGCATTAATCAACTAAAAGCATCATTTTTGGACAAAAACATCCCCTGATAATGACTGTTTCAACACTGCAGGATGGGAAAATAATGTGTTTGCATGAAAGAGAAGCTGAAACCCTGAAGGACATATGAAGTTCTGTACCTAGATCCATGCTCTTGGACTTGCGGGTCTTAATGATCTCCAGCTGAGCGGCGTCTCCGAACTGCTTGGTGCGTTTCTCAGACATGCTCTGGCGTCCGAATCCCTCCCTGTGGAACGCTCCATCTGGATCGTCTTCATCTGGACCCAGAGAGCTGCGGCGGAAGAGGAGGAAACAGGTTGTTTTCATCAAGTGGACTTTAACTATTCTGGCAAATGTGACTGCGAATCAATGAAAAAAAAAAAAAAAAAAAAAAACACGGCACTCTGTAATTACTTTTAGATAATTACGATTTTTGACTCTTATTAGTGTCTACGTCCAAAACTGAAACATTTGTACATTTGTTTCAAAAATTTAATTTTCATCAAATTCAAATTTCTTTCCAAACAAAAAGAGAAATCTTCTTATGAAACGGGCTCTTGTTTTTAGCTCATATTTTATTATGTCAGATTTCATAATTACTTGTTTTTTGTAATTGTGTTAGTAAGTTTTTTAAACGAGATTTTGGATCTCCATGAGACTACCTGTATAAATAAAGGTCAATTAAAAATAAATTTGAAATTCAACTGTAAGAAACAGTTTTAAAACAACTAAATCACAAAGATAAAAAAACACTAAAATCATTAACTTGTATTGTTAAAAATATGGGTCAATATTTACAAAATACAACGACTGGATAAAAAAAAATCGATTGATTTCCTTTAAATTTGCAATATCGACTCATCGGGTATGAGATCGATCATCTCCGGCCTCAGTAGTCTTGCGATCGATGAATCAGTGGTGTGTTTATGTGATTTGTGTTACTCCTGGCTTGCCGTACCTTCACACCCAGTGTACAAAGAGCTAACATTAGCTTCCAACAACAAGTCATCCGGGCAAAAGAAACGAAAGAATCGCTAACACTACCAGCTGATTCTCTGATAACGGCTGCGTGGCAACTTTTGTTTGCAAAGATTAATGTGCAGTACTCGTTAGTGGAAAACGAAGGCTTCAAGCGGCCTTCAGGTGCATGAACCAAACTATATTATTGTGCAACGTAAACATCTGACTGAAACTGTCCCCCGGGATGATACATGTGTGAAAGTACTTTGACTTTCCCGATTTTTGTGACCAGTTTCATGACTTTTACTTGAGTACTTTTTTTTATCAGTGAAATATATTTTTACTTGTGCTGGGCATAAATAAAATTTTTAATCGTRATTAATCCCAAGATATTAATGCGATTAATCTAAATTTTTTAGAAATAATCACTCTACTATGGCTGAATGTCTACGCTTGTATGTTGCAATACATGCGTGGCACACTGAAGAAATTTTTAGTCATTTAGAAACTGAATTTAGAAGCACCACACATTATTCATAATTTTCCTTGTTAAGTATTGATTCTTATAATCTATTGTTTGACTATTGTTATGTCTTGATTAAAATAGCTTTAGCTAGAGATTTTTTCTTAAAGTTGCATTAGCTGGGTTTTGAACCCTGATCTCCCGCATGAAAACCCACAGTGCTCATCATGAGACTATATAAGATGTGACAGAGGACAATCCCAGCGATTGGATTGTATGTATACAGAAAATGTTTACCTTGCCAATGCAATTATTGACACTTAAGTGCAATATATTACAGCAATAGGACAACATAAAGACAGTATTACAGTAAAACATCAAAATACAATCATTTTAATATTGTAATCACTGAACTACTGAGTTTAAATATTATAAAACTATGATGCAGTACTATATTG